TAGTCTATAGTCTAGTCTATAGTCTAGTCTATAGTCTAGTCTATAGTCTAGTCTATAGTCTAGTCTATAGTCTAGTCTATAGTCTAGTCTATAGTCTAGTCTATAGTCTAGTCTATAGTCTAGTCTATAGTCTAGTCTATAGTCTAGTCTATAGTCTAGTCTATAGTCTAGTCTATAGTCTAGTCTATAGTCTAGTCTATAGTCTAGTCTATAGTCTAGTCTATAGTCTAGTCTATAGTCTAGTCTATAGTCTAGTCTATAGTCTAGTCTATAGTCTAGTCTATAGTCTAGTCTATAGTCTAGTCTATAGTCTAGTCTATAGTCTAGTCTATAGTCTAGTCTATAGTCTAGTCTATAGTCTAGTCTATAGTCTAGTCTATAGTCTAGTCTATAGTCTAGTCTATAGTCTAGTCTATAGTCTAGTCTATAGTCTAGTCTATAGTCTAGTCTATAGTCTAGTCTATAGTCTAGTCTATAGTCTAGTCTATAGTCTAGTCTATAGTCTAGTCTATAGTCTAGTCTAGTCAGTCTATAGTCTAGTCTATAGTCTAGTCTATAGTCTAGTCTACAGTCTAGTCTATATTCTAGTCTATAGCCTAGTCTAGTCTAGTCTATAGTCTAGTCTATAGTCTAGTCTATAGTCTAGTCTATAGTCTAGTCTATAGTCTAGTCTATAGTCTAGTCTATAGTCTAGTCTATAGTCTAGTCTATAGTCTAGTCTATAGTCTAGTCTATAGTCTAGTTATAGTCTAGTCTATAGTCTAGTCTATAGTCTAGTCTATAGTCTAGTCTATAGTCTAGTCTATAGTCTAGTCTATAGTCTAGTCTACCAGACTAGACTATAGACTAGGCTATATAATAGATTATAGACTTGACTATAGCCTAGTCTATAGTCTAGTCTATAGTCTAGTCTATAGTCTAGTCTATAGTCTAGTCTATAGTCTAGCCTATAGTCTAGTCTATAGTCTAGTCTATAGTCTAGTATCTAGTCTAATCTAGACTATAGACTAGACTATAGACAAGTCTATGGACTAGACTATAGACTAGACTATAGACTAGACTATAGACTAGGCTATAGTCAAGTCTATAATCTATTATATAGCCTAGTCTATAGTCTAGTCTGGTGTTTAGTCTGTAGTCTAGTTTATATTCTGGAATATTCTGCGATCTTCGCTAAAGCCCAGTTTATATTTAGAATAAACTATGATTCAGTTAATGGTATACTCTATTGAACAGACTGTGATAGTTACTAAGGTCTAAACAATAGTTCAGAACATAGTCCATACTCTAGTTCAGAATCTAATACCAGATCATACTTAAGTTATGCTACAACTGCATTTAGTAAGTAGCGCAATAAGCCAACGCGCACTGCTAAATATAGAATAATATCACCATGGAAAAATTAGTCATTCAAAAAGTTCTTAAAAATTCCTTCATAACCGGTAAATTTCCTATAAAGATCATACCAATATCTTAAATAATTATAATTTAAAAACAATAATTTCTTTTACAACTCATTAAAATAAATATTTATATATCAATTAACACAAGATAATTTGTACTTTAAACCTAAACACCTTTTTCAGGCAGACAACTCTCATTCACAGATATAGTAGAGACAATAACACACAGTGGGCTTAAAAGCACCACAAATTTGCTGACACAGTAGGTAGAATATTATACAAATATGTATGTTAAGCCAAATGATATATAAAATTCTCTCTTTTAATTTTTTTTTTTTTGTAACGGACAAGTTATTTGATCCAACCAAAAGCGAGAATTTTTACCAAATTTATGTATGTATAAGTAAATATTTGTATGTATTTGTTTGCATATAAAATTTTTATGCTGATGTCGAATATATCAAACCTATACAGGCTCATTATGGAGTTTTCAACACATACAAGTTTTTTCTGAAAGTGTACATATGCATTTTTGTAAGAGTTTGAGTGCGTGTGCGCATGTGTTTGTTATTGTTTGATACAAACAATTAAAATGCAATGGAAAATTCCACTGGCAAAAATGATTGAATTGAAGAAATTTTTTGTTGGTCTGTTTGTAATCTGTGTGTATTTTATATTATATGAGTGAGAGTGAGTAATAAACTGTGAAATGTGGTTTGAGCAATTAATTAAATGTTAATAATTTTTTAATATTTTTTTTTTAAATTTAAAATGAAATTGTTGAGAGTCATATAAACAAAATTATGTGTGTGATGATTTTTAGAGGGGCTTGTTCCAGACATCTTATTTCTATACAAATCTTATAGTAATTAGTTGTTAAAAAAAGTTTAGCGTTTTATAAGGTTTTGCATGAAATTTTTATTTTACTATAATTTTAGTTTGTGATTTTGTTAATTATTTTATATTTTTGTGTTATATTTCTATAATTATTATTTGACTCATATTTTATTGTTTCAACCTTTGGTATCTAATGTTGATATTCTGATTCAATATATTTACTATGAATTTCTAATTTAGATAAGTAAATATTTGAAATTATCTATATATTAATTTCATTTCGTTTTTATTTACATCCTTATTATCTTTATTACTTTAACGATGGGTTTATTATTCAAACAAAATTTTTCGTATTGAACAAATAATTTTGCCAAAATTTATAAAAAATATTAACCTATTTGTAGCCATTAACTGAAGCTTTAAGAATTATATCTGGACTATAGCCTAACTTATAGTCTGGGTTACAGCCTAAGCTATAGTCTGGACTATAACATAGTCTAGAGGCTGGACTATAGTCTAGTCTATAGTCAGGACTATTGTCTATAATGAAAAGTATAGTCTAGTCTAATGTATATACTGGACTATAGTCTGTAGTTCGACAATAGTCTAGTCCAGGCGCGGATCCACGGGGGAGGGAAAAGGGAAATTTACAACCCCCTCTCAAAACCGAAAAATTTCCATACAAAATATAAAAATGAGGAATAAAATCTCGAGCTGGATCCGCGATTGTTATAGTCTATAGTCTGGACTCTTGTCTATAGACTGGACTATAGTCCACCATATAGTCTGGACTATAGTCTACTCTATATTCTGGACTATAGTCTAATCTATAGTCAGGACTATTGTCTATAGTTAAAAGTAGTCTAGTCTGTAGTCTAGTTCCATAGTCTAATATAATCCATACTCTGGACTATAGTCTAGTCCATATTCTGGACTATAGTCCAGACTATAGCCTAGTTTAAAGTCTCGACTATAGCCTAGTCTATAATCTCGACTATAGATTAGTATATAGTCTCGACTATAGCCTAGTCTATTATCTATAGTCTGGACTATAGTCTTGTCTATAGTCTGCACTGTAGTCTAATCTATAATGTGGATTGTAGTATCGCCTATAGTATGGACTATAGTCTAGTCTAAAGTCTGGAGTATAGTCTAGTCTATAGTCTGGACTGTAGTCTAGTCCATAGTGTGGATTGTAGTATCGCCTACAGTATGGACTATAGTCTAGTCTATAGTCTGGACTGTAATCTAGTCTATAGTCTGGACTATAGTCTAGTCTATAATCTGGACTATAGTGTAGCCTAAATTCTGGGCTATAGTCTAGTCTATAGTCTATACTATAGTCTAGTCTGTGGTCTAGCCTATATAATAGACTAAAGTCAAGACTATAGTCTAGTCTAAACTTTAGTCAAGTCTATAGTCTAGACTATAGTCTATCCTACATTCTATCCTACAGTCTGGATTATAGTCTAGTCTATAGTCTGGACTATAGTCTAGTATATAGTTTGCACTGTAGACTATACTATCTGGACTATAGTCTAGTCTATTATCTAAACTATAGTAATTTGGACTTGTCTATATTCTAGAATGGACTATAGTCCAGATTATTGAGTAACCTATATATTAGCCGGACATTAGCTTGGACTATAGTCTGGATTGACTATAGTCCAGACAATATTTCGGACTATAGACTAGAACAGGTACTTAGAATTCTCTTACTCATACGAAACAAAAAACTGGCAGACACCTTTTTTGTAACTCTTAGCTAGTACTTGACTTACGACAATGAATGAACGATGTTATAAACCTTAGGATCATGAAGTAATTGATGACAAAACTTAATAGCTTAAGAAGTAAATTCAAAAGGCTTAAGCATATCTTATTGTACATGATCAGTGCTGAATCATATTATAATGATTCATACTTGTGAATCAACATATTAAAAAACTATTTCTACTAATCACTCATTTATTTTAGTAGAGACTAACCGTTAAATTTAAAAAGCTTTATGCTAGATTATACCTTATATTATGAGCAATTTCTTTTGAACTCTCTAAACTGTTTGAGTTTTAATCGGAATTAAAAGTCGACCTTAAAACCGGAAATTTTTTTCCTGGTCTCAGTTTTAGTATAACTTAGATGGTGTTTGAAATAATGTAAAATCGGTTTGATAAAAGTTAAATAGAAAAGTACCGAACGTTTATTTAAACTTTTATAAATTTTTGTACCTACTCTATATGTTGCAAAAATATATTATAATAAATATTTATTAAATGTAAATTTTTCTTTAAAATGCGATAAAAATAACTGCGTGTAGCCATTTATCAGTATTTATTTTTTTTTTTTTGCATGCCGGTTTTATAATTTCCTCACAATTCTGAATGGAAAATTTCCACAATTTTTTTTTTTTGTTTATAGTCAAATTTTGGCTTTAAATATTCCATCTCTTTTACTCCCAAAAACAACAAAAAAACCACCCTAAAATTGGACATATCTAAAACACTGTGCTCATCAACAAACCAAGTACTTTCAGAACTACTGTGCTGTGTAAATATGTACTTTTTTTTCTGTTGTTTATAATTAAATTAAACATTAACAAAATAATACAGAAAAAAACTAATTAATACAAATTGATAATAGTATTTATTGTTGTCATAACAACTAAAAAAAACGACTTTGAAAATTATGATAAATATGCAGTTAGATTAATTTTGCAAATATGTACAAAACAAAAATAAGGGAAATAATCAAATAACTTACGGTATATTCTGTGGGTGCCAAAGGCGTACGTGAATCACTTTTATGAAAACTCATGTTGCCGGCTTAATTTTTTTCCTTCCACTTCTCACTGAGATTCGTTAAATTCAAATAAAACTGCTTGTTAAACACGAATAATAATCCTTAGGTGGTAACAATTAATCTGGTAAGACTTTTGCCTCAAATCCAATAAGTAGTTTCAACAATTGGTCTTAATAACAAACTATTTTTTTAAAGCGCGTTTTTAATATGTTAGCAAAATAGTCCAGAAACTTCTAAACAGTTGAAGTTTGTGTTTTAATAACAACTTTATTGAAAAAAATGACGTTGTTATATTTTAAAATTAATTATACAGAAAAAAAACCAAAATTATGTTTTTTTAACAAACTAAAGAAATTGCAGTAAATTTTAAAATAAAATTCTTTACTCAATTTCTATACAAAAAAATTCTAATTAAACTACTTTATATAGAAACAAATTGTAATACTTTAAGTAAAAATATTTGAAAACTTTGTTTAGAATTTTGAAAAATTTGTAACTGTTAGATTTTTGTATTCGTTTTTTTTTTAGTTTGAGATTTGTTGCAAATAAAGAAAAGAGACAACCGCACTGTTTGCAATACAAAGCAAGAATGCCAACATTGCCATTTCATTACACGACCGTAACCCTCCAACAGCACAAATTTCGAATTCGTTCAATACACTTCAGTCAGCAGCAACACTGCACAACACACAGTTAGAAAACAATACGGCAAGCAAGCAATTTAAAACAGACAGACAAATTCAACAATGTCTAACCAACTGACTGACCGACCGACAAACTGACGAATAGTCTGTCACGCTGTTAGACAAACAGTATGTACTGAATGTACCGAATATGAGTGTACATAATGATATTTTACTTCAAGTGTAGTGTACCCCAAGTGAGTGTGTATGTGTGTGTATTTTCATGGAAATTATATGCGTTTTACTGACATTGCTGCGGCGATCGGTGGTTCTCAAATTGTTTCGATTTACTATACAAAGTAAGCATGACTGGTTGAAAAATGTCTTAATTAATAGTTAATGACTTTCGGTTTGATTTCATGTTCTAGCCAGAATCCTAGTTATCAGTATTTGAGTTGAGTGCAAAAAAATCTATTTGAAACAGGGATCGCCAGAGAGTAAGAAATGAGCTCTCTGACTATTTTGGCCTATGACGAAAAACTCAAGACTTGTATATAGTGGATAAACATAGTTTCGAGATAATAAACCGAACTATAGTTGAGACTACAGCTGGTCTAAAGGCAGTAGTTAAATCTATACTATAGACAGTACTGTAGTCAAGTTTATAGACTGGACTACGGTCGAAACTGAACAAGGCTTTAGGCAAGATTTTAGACAAAAATATAGCCGGCGATATAGAATGATTTTCGTAGTGTAGTCTGAACTGGACTTTATTCGCAATTATAGAAAATACTTTGGACGATTCTATAGGCTGGATTATAGATTGCACTATGAACGAGTCCATAGACTGGTTTATATAGAAGTCGATTGAATGGACTAAATAAAAGTCTTTACATTGGATTATACACGTTTCTGTAAAAAGGACAATTGGCTAGTCAATATAGTGGATTTGAGACCATAGTCTGTTTTATATATAAGTCCATAGTCTGATCTATAGTTGGACTATAGACAAGTCTGTAGTCTGAACTATAGACAAGTCTGTAGTCTGAACTATGGACAAGTCTGTAGTCTGAACTATAGACTTTACTAGACAAGTCTATAGTAAAGACTAAAGATCGCCTAGATTATAGACATGTCTATAGTCTGAACTATAGACAAGTCTATCGTCTGGACTATATATATGTAAGTCTATAGTCTGGAATATATATAAGTCTATAGTCTGGACTATAGACAAGTAGTCTGAACTATAGACAAGTCTGTAGTCTAGACTATAGACTTGTCTATGAACTATTGGACTATTGACAAGTCTGAGGTCTAGACTATAGACGTGTCTCTAGTCTGGACTATAGGCAAGTCTGTAGTCTGGTCTATAGACAAGTCTATAGTATGGACTATAGACAAGTTTATAGTCTGGACTACAGTCTGCTCTAAAAACTAGACTATAGACTGAATTGTAGAATAATTAATAGACTGGACGATAGACTAATCTACAAACTACAGACTAGTCTATAGAGTGGTCTATACTCACAACTAAAGACTGGACTGTACTAGTAAAAAATGGAGTTTTTAGTGAAAAATTTGGATTTTTATATAAAATAAAGTTTTTTAGTAAAAAAATCGGGCGTTTAGTAAAAAATCATGATTTCAGTTGAAACCGTTTGAGACTCCCTGCCACAAACCACTTTTTTTCTATAGAATCAAACACACTACACTACATACTGTTTGGCTGAAACAATACAATGTTCAATACCGACTATATATGTATAAATAGATATACACACTACATTACATACTATTAAGCATGAAATAACAAATGAAACACAGTATTCGCTATTAGTCTGTAGACATACACACTACACTCCACCCCTCCCGGCTGTGTAACAGTTCAAAAAAAAAAAAAAATACAATACATATTGTTGTTGATATTATTTGTTGTATTTATTTTGTTTGTGTTTTATTTTTTTTTGCTTTTTCTTGTGTTTGTATGCGTTTTAGTTTTGTGTTTATCTTTTTTTTCTTTTTGTATTTACTTTCAGCCCCTATTAACCCTTAGCGCCCTTATCTTGACATTTTTGCGTTACTGACGCCTGTGTGTTATACGACGGTATATTAATAAGTAATACTCTCGGACTTAATGCATTTCCAGCTACTACCAGTAGATGTAGAAATTGTTAGTATTTCATTTAGACGTTTTTATTATTTGTTTTACATACAAACATATATTCATTCTTTTTAGACTGGTTCTTAAATGATATTTGAAAATGTTTAACTAAAATTATAAAAATAGCTGAATGTTTTGTTTTTGCAAAGTTTTTGAAAACAATCGTTTCATTGTTTGAAGTTGTGTTTACTTTTTAAATATTTGTTGGTTTTAGTAGTTGTAACTGACAGTTTTAGATTGTCATGTAATGTCTTGTTATCTAATGTTTCATATTTTTAAGCATTTCCTTGCTTTTTTGAAAAAACTTAAGTAAGAACATATTTTTATAATGCAATTTCTTTAAATATTATTCAAATTTGTTTAGGTTTACAATTTTCTCTTCAATTTTGAATTTCAGCAAATATTCGAGTAAGATGAAGAACGATTTAGTGTAAGCAAATTCTTCGTAGATTAGTCACGCATGCTTGGTTAAATTAAGTTAATCTCATTTTAATCTCATTTTAATCTTCAGTTTTAGGATTATAATAGAGAAAATATTGCCAAATTTTGACTTTAGAGTAATTTAAAATTATTTTAAAAATATTTACATATAAAAAAAGTTAAATGCTGATAAAAACAATATATATTTTTTGCGGAAATATTTTTTAAATTTTATTATACATTGTAATACTTTATAAGTACCTCACTAAGTAGGTTCACATTGATGAAATATTTGAAAAGATTATGGCATATCGATGATTATTGTGAAGGTGTTCCATTGTATTCAACGTACCAAAATCTCAAAGAATTAAAGGTATAACATTTGTATGTTATCTATCTAACTCAATCATTACTTCCGATGTCAAATGGATTCATTACGACAACATGATGCGTAATGAAACGCCAGTCGAAACTATTTATATAACTACATGTAATAAGTGTTAGGAAGTTCAATCGCTTAAAGCTAAGTTCACACCTAAGACTAGACTATAGACTAGACTATAGACTAGACTATAGACTAGACTATATACTAGACTATAGACTAGACTATATACTAGACTATATACTAGACTATAGACTAGACTATAGACTAGACTATAGACTAGACTATAGACTAGACTATAGACTAGACATAGACTAGACTATGACTAGACTATAGACTAGACTATAGACTAGACTATAGACTAGACTATAGACGAGACTATAAGACTAGACTATAGACTTAGACTATAGACTAGACTATAGACTAGACTATAGAACTAGACTATAGACAGACTAGTGAGACTAGACTATAGACTTAGACTATAGACTAGACTATAGACTAGACTATATACTAGACGATAGACAGACTATAGACTAGACTATAGACTAGACTATAGCTAGACTATAGACTATACTATAGACTTAGACTATAGACTAGACTATAGACTAGACTATAGACTAGGACTATAAGACTAGACTCATAGACTATACATAGACTAGACTATAACTAGACATAGACTATACTATAGACTAGACTATATACAGACTATAGACTAGACTAAGACTAGACTATAGACTAGACTATAGACTGACTATAGACTAGAACTATAGACTAGACTATAGACTAGACTATATACTAGACCTATAGACTAGACTCTAGACTAGACTATAGACTAGACTATAGACTAGACTATAGACTAGACTATAGACTAGACTATAGACTAGACTATAGACTAGACTATAGACTAGACTATAGACTAGACTATAGACTAGACTATAGACTAGACTATAGACTAGACTATAGACTAGACTATAGACTAGACTATAGACTAGACTATAGACTAGACTATAGACTAGACTATAGACTAGACTATAGACAAGACTATAGACTAGACTATAGACTAGACTATAGACTGGACTATAGACTGGACTATAGACTAGACTATAGACTAGACTATAGACTAGACTATAGACTAGACTATAGACTAGACTATAGACTAGACTATAGACTAGACTATAGACTAGACTATAGACTAGACTATAGACTAGACTATAGACTAGACTATAGACTAGACTATAGACTAGACTATAGACTAGACCATAGACTAGACTATAGACTAGACTATAGACTAGACTATAGACTAGACTATAGACTAGACTATAGACTAGACTATAGACTAGACTATAGACTAGACTATAGACTAGACTATAGACTAGACTATAGACTAGACTATAGACTAGACTATAGACTAGACTATAGACTAGACTATAGTCTAGACTATAGACTAGACTATAGACTAGACTATAGACTAGACTATAGACTAGACTATAGACTAGACTATAGACTAGACTATAGACTAGACTATAGACTAGACTATAGACTAGACTATAGACTAGACTATAGACTAGACTATAGACTAGACTATAGACTAGACTATAGACTAGACTATAGACTAGACTATAGACTAGACTATAGACTAGACTATAGACTAGACTATAGACTAGACTATAGACTAGACTATAGACTAGACTATAGACTAGACTATAGACTAGACTATAGACTAGACTATAGACTAGACTATAGACTAGACTATAGACTAGACTAT